TATCCGCCATCTCTATCTTTCTGTCGCTCGGCTCCGCTAATGTCCGTCCCATGCACTGAAAGCTCTCTCCTCCACATCACGAGTAGACACGCCCCTTATTGCTGATTGGCTACAAGTTTGTTTTGCGATTCGGCCCGAATCAGTTTTCTAAAGTGTTTTTGAAAAATCACATACCCTGCCTTTAAGCAGGCGAGTCAACGCAAGTTTATATCTACAAGGCACTAGAGGGCAGTGTTCAACTATTTGTGTCAACTTAGTGGTTGTTGGCAAGTTCATGTACAAAATTTTGGTAGGTCTGTACCATGACGTCACAGTAAACCGGTACAGGAATTATTGCAATTTTCAGAATCACAATGTAGAATCACAATGACTATATGTGTCTGTATTACAGTAATATTTTATGTATTTATAACTGTATTATTGTCCACAGAACTATTATTGCTAGAGTTTAACTTCCCAGCATGTATAGCAGCATTAATTTATTTGTATATTTTTTAATAAATCTACATTTGTTGGCTGTCACCATTGTTGAGTTTTATATGCTTAGTGTGAATTATTATATTTTACCCTTTTATGAAGGACTATTTATGAATAGTTTTATGATAGAATATATATATATATATATATATATATATATGTGTGTGTGTGTGTGTGTGTGTGTGTTAACACTTTAAAACAAGGTCTCATTTGTTAATGTTGTCAGGTAATATTTGTGAAACATTTATTAATATTTGATAATGTTAGCTAATAAAGATACAACTGTATATTTTGTGTTCATGTTAGTTCACAGTGCATTGATGTAAAAATTGTAAAAAATAGTTTAAAAATGTTTATTATTAAATGCTGAAATGTACATTACCTAAGATTAATAAATGCTGTAGAAGCACTGTTCATTGTTAGTTCATGTTAACTAGTGTAATAACAACAAATGAAAGCTTATTGTAAAGTGTTAACGCATTTCTGTAAAACATTGCCAAATATAGTGTCGATTACAAGTTTTGATAGTCTTTTATTTATGATAGACAAAATTAAAATTAAAATCAAACATTCACAGGATTTTACTCAAAAATACTGTGGTATATTGTGGCATATGCTGGCTAAATTGACACAAGCTGCCAAAAATGTAAAGTTTGTTATGTTCGGTTCCAAAGTTTTGACAAACACGTGATTTGTATCGTCTTATCGCCCTGGCACATGTCCTTGCTGAACTGTAGAACTGTTGCAGACAGTCACATACTTTGCATACAAGCTGTAACACCCTCATGTGATATGTAAATGTGTGGTTACAGTGTTGTAACCCTTTGAGATCCAATGCAAATGCTCACTCAAAGCAGATGTGTTTTCCTAGCAGCCCAAAGCAGCTGTAAGGTCTGAGGTCACTGCCTAATTTATCTGCTTTAACCTCACAGTCATGCTCGCATATTAAAAGGCTGATCCTCGGCCTAGGAGTGATAGTGTAATGATTTTTTGAAGCTCTTTCTGCAAGCTACGCAGGATTGTCAGCAGTGTTGATGTTGCAGTAAGGTGTGGTCACAGTTCATTTGACCTTGGAACATATGGTCTGTTGTGACACTGGCATCTGTGATGGGTCTAGGACAAACCCATAACCCTGAGAAAACACAAGTGGGATGCTGAGATGACAATTGAATAAAATAGAATAGAAAATAGTATATCCAGTAAACAAATACGTGAACATGCATAAAGTGAACATGTGCAGTTGTTACCTTAAAGAGCTATTTAAAAAAAATTATTAATTTAAAAAGTACATAGTTAGGTTGAATCAGTTATATTAATTACATTTAAACAGTTGACAGTAGCCATTGACTTCCATTGTATTTTTTCCCCAATACGATGGAAGTCAATGGCTACCGTCAACTGGTTAGCAACATTCTTGAAGATATCGTCTATACTATATCTTCAACAGAAGAAAGAAACTCATACTGGTTTGAAACAACTTGAGGGTGAGTAAATGATGACAGAATTTTCATTTGTGGGTGAACTATCCCTTTAACTGCTGACAAAAAGTATTTAACATAATTAATTAGGTTGCATGAATGATTAGGTTCCACCAGCAAATCTTCTTACAGCAACACCAATATCCATTTTTTTTAACAGTGTACAATATTAATATATTATATAATATTATAATTGAATGCAATTTTGAATATGGCATATCTAATGAAAAATCTACTTTCTAAGAAAACACAGTATTAGAAACTGACCCAAGAAAAGAACTGGGAATATATGCTTTAAAAACGATTGATTGATTTAATTTCAAATGATTGAAAATAACATTTTAAAAACAACAACAAAATAACAAATATTTGCTTATTATTGATGTTGTTGCTGTTTTTATTATTATTTGGTATTCTAATAACTTACAACTATAAGGAATTCAAGCAAATGCACTCTATGCAGATATACAAAGTTTTTAAAGAAGAGCATGTAAGTTTAAATGTGTTAGCTCAAAGAGGCCTACAAAAAGGGTTTTGTGATTTGGTCCCATTTACCTTTTTTCCAGCATGCACTGGAGCATGAATAATTAATATGGCTGTAGGGCTGCAACAACGAATCGATTAAATCGATAAAAATCGATTACTAAAAGAGTCGGCAACGAATTTCACAATCGATTCGTTGTGTCGCGCGACGCGTCTCATAGATAGGCTAGTATCGCTGCCGCTGGGGTTTTTGTCTTGAAATGACACGTGAAATGTTCTTACCTTCCACTGCACAATCATTAGCGCCGAAGAAGACGGTCACAGCCGCAATAGGAGCATCAGAAATGGGCACGATGCGAGGAAGCACAATCTTAGCCCACCTTGTGTTGTAACCCGACAAGCTCGTTTACCACGTCGCATTTTCTAATAAATGAAAGGG